TTTGATTTTTTACTTCTCCATTTGCTTTGATGAATCGAAATATCTCAGGTTCTTGAGGGCGAGAAAGTTTGATGTCGAAAAGGCGAAGCAAATGTGGGCTAATATGCTTAACTGGAGGAAGGAAAATGGCGCAGATTCGATCATCGAGGTGAAAATTAAAGATTCTTTTAACTCTGGTTATGTATCTTTCTCTCTAAAGTCTCTCTCTTTCTTCTTCAAGGACTTTGATTTCAAAGAAATCGATGAAGTGGTTAAGTATTATCCACAAGGGTATCATGGTGTTGATAAGGAAGGAAGACCTATCTATATCGAGAGGTTAGGCCAAGTGGATGTAACAAAGTTGATGAAAGTGACCACTATAGATAGGTACGTGAAGTACCATGTGAAAGAGTTTGAGAAGACGTTCAACGTAAAATTCCCGGCTTGTTCCATCGCTAAAAAGAGACACATTGATCAGAGCACAACGATCTTGGATGTTCAAGGCGTGGTATGTACTATAGAAAATTTTCTCCACATAGTTTTCTCTGTATGAATGATTCGATCTTTGTGTTTTATTTTCATTTGCAGAGGCTTAACAACTTCAACAAAGCTGCAAAAGATCTTCTTCAGAGTATTCAGAAAATCGACAACGATAACTACCCTGAGGTTCACTTTTATGCTTTTTCTTCTTCTTTGAGTTACTAAATGTTTTTTGACATTGAACCATGACTTTGTGTTTCATTGTAGACGCTGAACCGTATGTTCATCATCAATGCTGGTTTTGGGTTTAGTATTATATGGGCAACAGTGAAACCTTTCCTTGACCCAAAGACTACGGCTAAGATTCACGTAAAGCTTTACTTTTGATTTTCTTCATTTTGCGTCTTGATTAGTTAGTAAAAGACCGCTCTTTCTGTTCATTAATAATAGGTTCTTGGCAACAAATACCAAAGCAAACTGCTAGAAATCATCGATGCCGAGTGAGAACTTCTTGACTCATTAGAATATGACCTTGAAACTGTTAAGATTTATCTTCAAATATATATGTTCATTCAAAACTCTCTCTTCTCATTTATATTGTTTAGTGAACTGCCTGAGTTATTGGGTGGTAAGTGCACCTGCTCAGATAAAGGTGGATGTATGCGTTCGGACAAAGGTCCATGGAACGACCCCGAGATCTTCAAGGTAGTAGTTCTAAAGAACCAACCTTAAGGAAACTTTACATCTTTTGATATAACTTGTGATTCATTATGTAAATTATATATCTATATACACAGTTGGTTCAGAACGGTGAAGGTAGATGCCTAAGGAGGAGCTTGTCAGGGATCGAAGAAAAGACAATCTCAGAGTATAAGAACAGAACAAAGGTACAAAAAAAGAAGCAAAATGCTATGATCTTGATTCTTTTTTTGTGTCTTTTGGTATAATCTAATCCATTTCTCTAATTGGTTCGAAACAACTCGGAAGACCTACGAATCTTTTGAAACAGAGCAATCTCTCACTGAGAAGGAAAAGAAGTTCATCGACAAGACTGTGGATGTTGCTACTTGGCCTACAAAGCTTAACAATAACAAATTTCCCGAGCCTAAAGGTTAGTATATTCTCGTTTTAACTCATACCGGGTGGGTAATTCGTATAAGTTTCTTAAACCGTGAAACTCTCAACTTCAGATATGAACTCGGCTGTGAATTCATTGGAGAGGAAAGGGTATTTATATGGAAGTGTAATGGCATTGCTCATGGGGATAGTAGGCGTACTGAGGCTAACCAAGAACATGCCAAGAAAGCTTACCGAGGCGAATGTGTATAGCCGTGAAGACGGAGGAGTGACTGTTATGTCGAGGCAGGAGTATATGGCGATGGTAAAGAAGATAACAGATCTAGAGGAGAAATGTAACTTCATGGATGCTCAAGCTGCGATTTCTCTAGAGAAAGAGAAGATTCTAGACGCTGCACTACTTCGTGTTGACCAGCTCGAGCTTCAGTTGTCTGAAACCAAGAAGGTAAAG